AATTTACGGGGTTGGGGGTGATGGTGACTTTAAGGGGAGTCACTATTTTGTTCTAGGGAGGTCATCAATTTTGTACACATGTACTGTGTGTGTGTGTGTGTGTGTGTGTGTGTGTGTGTGTGTGTGTGTGTGTGTGTGTGTGTGTGTGTGTGTGTGTGTGTGTGTGTGTGTGTGTGTGTGTGTGTGTGTGTGTGTGTGTGTGACATTAAACAGCGACCTATGGGTTAGGGCAAGTGCGTGAGTTAATATGCATTAACATTAAAGCATTATTTCAGCCATCAAAGTGAGTCAGTTACCAATTTAAGCCAATCGGCTGTATTTCAGCCACATCGTGAGTAAAACAAGTTATACTTAACACATAAAGTTCAATTATATATGTCTTCGGGGAACAGTAAAAACAACTATATTAACAAACCGTACATTGTATTCTTATTCCCCGTGGGGGAATAAGTTATGATTTGTCATTGCCGAGTTCTTTTTAAGAGGATTAATCTAAGTGCAGAATCCGTAAAGGTCCGGGTTAGAATGAACCTTCAGTAACCCATGCTTGTCGTAAGAGGCGACTAACGGAATTGGGTAGTCAGGCTCGCTGGCTTGGTTGACACATGTAATCGGTCCCCAGTTGCGCAGATCGATGCTCATGCTGTTGATCACTGGATTGTCTGGTCTAGACTCGATTATTTACAGACCGCCGTCATATAGCTGGAATATTGCTGAGTGCGTCGTAAACCTAAATTCACACTCTCACTCACCTAAGTGCAGACTATGTAAGTGAAAACACATTTGAAAGACTATATTTGTTAACACATCTGAAGCACTTCACATTTCCAGTTTAGTTCACCTTGCACCGTTGGCAAAATAACAAGCATGCATGTGACAGTTTCAAGCGTCTGGAAATCAACCTGGTTTTGTGTTGCAGTAAGTAGTTAGAGACATTGCAATCAGTGCTTAAAACTATTAGGGCTTCTTGCCTCTAGGCAGGAGACCTATTGTAATCGTTTGGATTATTATTATTATTATCATTTATTATTCCGCCGATTTTTTGTACCAAACATAACTCCTAAACCAATGATCCGAATCACTTACATAAAATCACACAGATGCCTGGACGGGTCAAGTCGCTAAAACGTACCGTTTGGCAGTTATTTTTGTTTTCAGGTTTTTGGCCATGTTTTTCAGCACTTTTCTGAGTAGTTTGCTCCCAAAATGTGCAAATTCTGCACAAAAAGTGCCAGTGTGGTAGATGATGTCCTGGTGATTCCAGAATTGTTTTGAACGTAGACCCAAGAACAACTGAGATACAGCCTTTTAAAGAAGGAACTATTTCTTCTCCGGAACTACTTAAAATATGGAACGTGACCCCCCCGTGACCCCGGCTGTATTTGGGAGATCCGCTCGCCTGTCAAAACATGTGTTCTGTCTCCGTTTTGGACGATGATATCTAGCCCTCAGATACAATAGATAGAAAGTAAAGCCAAGGAGATCTCATCGTTGCCTGCAAATATATTTTTGTATATGTATTTTTCTGTGAAAAAATTGGTTTCCGAAAACATCAAATACATTGCCTGTACTCATAACAGGCTGGTATTCTTGATAACAAATGATTAACAAAAAGTAATAATAGTATAATAACTGTCAATTGAGATCAATGAACATAATAATCAAGTATTTTTTGAGCACATGTTGAACCACTTAATAGTATTTCCTGAGGAAAAGAGTTAGCAGCATGATGTGAACTGTCTCCAAATTGCAAGGGGATTACAAAACATATTTAAGGAATGTTTCACTATGGAACTTTAAACAAATTTGTGACTGTTATCCTTCGATAAATGCACAATAACGTAAACGTTCTCTCAATTAAGCTGTTACGAGTAATGAAACTGATTTGGTAATTATTGGAAAGGCTTAAATAGCGAACATAGCCGTGACGATCCGGGTTAGAATTGGTCTTCAGCAACCCATGCTTGTCGTAAAAGGCTACTAACGGGATCGGGTGGTCAGGCTCCCTTACCTGGTTGACACATGTCATCGTATCCCAAATGCCTATATCGATACTCATGCTGTTGAACACAGGATTGTCAGATCCAGACTCGATTATTTACAGACCGATATAGCTGGAATATTGCCGGGTGTGGCGTTAAACAACAACAAGCAAACCATGATGCCAAAGAATCTGTCACTAATGAACAATGAGTGCATCATAAACGTTTAATATAATCGCTATAACTCTGCCTGTCTTTGCGTCAGTTGATCATATTGGTGTACAGTTCTTTTCTACAATATTCTGCAAATTACCTTTACGATATGTATCCTGATTGCAGATTGAGGTACGACGAGAACTGGAGTACACTCGACACTCACAGGTGGAAATATTTCACAACCATGTCAACAGATGGTTTCTTAAGGGGACTGTGTGTATAGAAGATGAGGAATTGCAGTACATCCCCAAAGAGACTTTTATTAAACGGAAAGAGATGTAGCATAATTTTCTATTAACATGTTTGTTTGTTTATCGCCGCACTTACTGAGAAAAACCCGACTTTGAAAATTCTTAACTATTGTGTAATTCTTGTTGGTCAGATCAGTCCAGTGGTTAAATGATTTGGGATGCTTATGTGGGTTTTGGCTATTTTATGTTGTTGTTTTCGTGACACGTTTGACTTCACTGAAGGTGAGAGTGGTGTTTGTTTCTAAAGCTATACACTATTTGCTAATGACACTAAGTTTTGAGGGGTATGTGGGGAGGGGTAGAACTGATACTCTGTGACCTGGAGACCCTTGTGCTTGAGGGGTATGTGGGGAGGGGTAGAACTGACACTCCATGACCTGGAGACCCTAGTGTTTGAGGGGTATGTGGGGATGGGCAGAACTGATACACCGTGACCTGGGGACCCTTGAGTTTGAGGGGTATGTGGGGAGGGGTAGAACTGATACTCCATGACCTAAAGACCGTTCTGTTTGAGGGGTATGTGGGGAGGGCAGAACTGATACTCTGTGACCTGGGGACCCTTGTGTTTGAGGAGTATGTGGGGATGGGTAGAACTGATACTCTGTGACCTGTAGATCATTGTGTTTGAGGGGTATGTGGTGAGGGGTAGAACTGATACTCCGTGACCTGGAGATAATTGTGTTTGAGGGGTATTTTGGGATGGGCAGAACTGATACTCCGTGACCTGGAGACCCCTGTGTTTGAGGGGTATGTGGGGAGGGGTAGAACTGATACTCCGTGACCTGGAGACCGTTGTGTTTGAGGGGTATGTGGGGATGGGCAGAACTGATACTCTGTGACCTGGAGACCCTTGAGTTAAAGGGGTATGTGGGGAGGGGTAGAACTGATACACCGTGACCTAAAGACCGTTCTGTTTGAGGGGTATGTGGGGAGGGGTAGAACTGATACTCCATGACCGGGAGACCCTTGATACTCCGTGACCTGGAGACCCTTGGGTTTGAGGGGAATGTGGAATGGGTAGAACTGATAATCCGTGACCGGGAGACCCTTGATACTCCGTGACCTGGAGACCCTTGTGTTTGAGGGGTATGTGGGGAGGGGTAGAACTGATACTCCGTGACCGGGAGACCCTTGATACTCCGTGATCTGGAGACCCTTGTGTTTGAGGGGTATGTGGGGAGGGATAGAACTGATACTCCATGACCTTGAGACCCTTGTGTTTGAGGGTAGAAGACGAAAGACATATACTATTGCTGTGGTACTTTAGAATTACATGCAAAATTCGGTTCATGTCTCGGAGTAAGTGTATATTGCCCAGTTTCAACCAAATTTCCTAGATTATCGAAATCTAGTTTGATCTATTTACAATTAAGAGAGAATAATATTCGTTTGTTGCCCAATTTTTAGGTTTTCCTTATCCTGCCCTGGCTAGTTTGTATCACAGTCTCAGAACAATATTATTATCCCTTCCGCCCAGCCGGCTCGGCACGCCAAAGACATGGACATAAGCTTATACTAAATACATCAATAATATCTACTCGATCTTAAACTTGATTGTGGTTACTGACATAGTCTGTCATACAGACCCTGAAACAAAAATGACCCGTGAAGGTCCGGGTTAGAACTGATCTCCAGTAACCCATGCTTGTCGTAAGAGGCGACTAACGGGATCGGGTGGTCAGGCTCGCTGACTTGGTTGACACATGTTATCTGTTCCCAATTGCGTAGATCGATGCTCATGCTGTTGATCACTGGATTGTCTGGTCCAGACTCGATTATTTACAGACCGCCGCCTTAATTATAGCTTGAATATTGCTGAGTGCGGCGTAAAACTACATTTGTCCATTCTCGAGAAACGCGAATGGTGTCGCCGAAGTCTTCTCTCGTTTCGAGTGAGTGAGTGAGTGGTCAGATCGGTGAGTGAGTGAGGGAGGGAGCTGGTGCTGTATTGGAGTTGGTGAGTGAGTTTGTTTTATTATCGTTTGACAAACGTTTCAGTTATATCCAAATGTCAGGTTAATCTACTAATTCGGAAATATTTCCGGGTTGACTTTTACACAATTGTCGCCGGAAGTTTTTCTTCCGATGCATTATGGGTGTAGAAATGGCGGCGCTTTCAAAGGAGGAAATGTCACGCCTTTCCCGTTCGATTGCATACAAGAGCTAACGAAGAAACATACATTGATTGTGGTTTGTCATTCGGAATACTTAATTTTGAGGTAAGGTACAGTAATTTGGTGACATTTTAAGTTGCAAACTCTATCAAAACAGTGTATCAACTTGAAACTCTGGTTCCAATACGATACTACTTTCGTTACAGCTCTTGTCAGAAGAGATCCTGATACAATATTTCAGGAGTCGCAGTGTTATTATGTGTGTTAATGTAATATTTATTTTGATGAGGCCATTACAAATGTGTATGTTTATGAACGATTGGAGAATTAGGAACATATAGTTAAGACGAATATCCAACAAAGTTTAATCATTGAATGGTAGTTGTGCGGACAGTAGCAGGTGCACGTTATGAACATGTTTCTACCTGAAACATGAACACACGCCTGTCAACACATTCATAGCACCGAGCGTCAGTGACCTGAGCTAAGTAGTAAAACCATTTACAAAGGGATCAGTGACACGAAGGGATAGTGTACCATGTGGCTGAAGGAATGTTGCGTGCCAGAGCAAGAACTTGGTCAATTTGTCAACAAAGCCTAACTCAAGTCTCGAGTTTTCGTACGTTTGTTGATCGTGAACAGTGCTAAGATTTTGTAAGTCTTAAAGGTGCTTGATTAACAGACGCTGAAGGTATGTTTGAGATGTCTGAAGCTCGTGATCATGATAGTTTTGGTCTCCTTTTATTTTTTGTATTACAAAATGATCATATGATTGTGGCTGTAGTTTTCAATCCTACAAATTGTCAGTAACGAATCTGTTTTCACGTTGACAGACAATGTTTGTATTTTTCTTCAAATCTGCTAATTGTTGAAAGGCTGCAAGAATATAATGAACATTTGACTTTTGCACCTCCTCAACTCACAGCTAGGATGTACCATGAATAATTTAGCAAAGGAATACATGTGTGTTATTAAAAAAAATAATTTTACATATAATTCTACCATACCATTGCATTATACGAATTAATGTAATAATATTTTTTAGCAATCACTCAGTTAGAATGCATCTGTAAATTGTGTGACCGAATCCAGTTGACAAAGATGAAAGTGAACTTTTTTCGCAGCATTTGTTAAGATACTGATAATGATGAAGTTTCCATGTATCAGGACCATGCAAGTTAGGACACATATAGTACCATTAGTTTTTTATGTGAAGGGGATCGGGATGTATATTATTATGTGATGATCAAAACAGTGCAAAATATATTTGCTTGAGACTATCAGGTTATGATGAAATTATCGATAATCAGACATATCATAGATAGGGAAAATTATCAATGATTGTTGGAGTGAAAATTAATTCATCAATTATTTCTTGCATCTTATAAAAAATAACTTACATGTACTCTCACAATAAAAAGATTTACATCTTTGTTCATGTGCCGGTTTGTTTTCGTTTGTAATCCATGCATTATGCATAAAGGTGAAATGCACTGATTTCATTTGGACTTTTAAATATTTTTCGTCAAAGTTACAACTCCAATATTTATTGGTAAACAGTTGATATTTAGTTACTGATTATCACTATCAGTCTCGATCGTCTATTTGGAATGCAAATACATCTGACATCCACATAATGCTTTCTGAAATTAACCTGGGCATTCAACAGTTCTGGGCCCCGTTCCTCAAAGTGATCGTAACGCTACGACAGTCGTAACTCCCATACTTTAACATAGACTTACAACTGTCGTAGCGCTACGATCACTTTGAGGAACGGGGCCCAGGGTTTTTTAGTGGTCATAGTGTAACAAAGTGAAGAAGACTTGATAACTTTGATTACCATAATTACTGTTGAGCACATTGAGTTTAAGGAGTGATCAGGGTCATATTTGAATAGATAATACTATCCCTGTCAATTGTGTTCACCAGTTTTGAGCTTCATGCTAGTTGGCAAAGTAAAACAAACAGTTTCATGATCACTATTTTCTGACTTTTGAACTTGAAGTTGTGCAAGTCCTCAGTGTTGTGATCACTGTGCTCTATTATTACGATCTGATCTTGCTGATTGGATTATCCCTTTGAGATCAATCTGTCAAAGGATTATTGATTTAGAAGAGATAAGCTTGGCAAGCCATATGAATTTGAATACCCCACTGCTGTGTGGGGGGTACAGATGTCCCAGTCACTGCAGAGTTGTGTCCCTTGCATGTGCCTGGAGATTTTAATAGCAGATTTACGTGTACGAGTTGTAGTCAGTATGCGAAATAGTTTCCAAATTTTGCCAGCCAGTTGGGCCAGCTATGCCTGTAAGTTACCAGCCCACAAAATAATTCGCTAGCCAGAAATTTGAATGTAGACACGGGTTGATTAAGCTGCTAATGTGATAAACATTTTTATCAGGCTATAATCTTGCATGATTTAAAAGTGTTTTCTAACTTAACAAATCGGAGAGAGTGATATATTTACAAAATGACCCCATGAAAATTCACTAGCCACTCAGTAGCCAGTTGGGCCAGGTACTGTGGAGATTTACTGACTGACTGGATTTTCACTAGCCACGGGCTTGGGGCAAGTGGCTATTTTGCACACTGCTTGTAGTGTTTTCAAATCAAAGTTTGTCAGCCAAGTTTTGGTTTCATTCATATAAATCCTTAACTTTAACTTTTGATTCATATAAATCCTTAACTTTCTATTTTTATTTTTGTCTGCTCCTAATTAAAATAAACCTTGACATTTTGCAGTTTGAAATGGTTACTGCTTTGATCTGTTGATCGCAATGCTTACATGTTAGACCATTCGTTTATATTTTCATTTGAATGATTATGTTTGTGAAAGGGTTTGTTGGTGGATAAAGGGACAGTGCATAACAGGAGTCATAAATTATAAGGATGGTAAGGTTATAAAGAAAAATTACTGTTTACCATTAGAAAAATTTGTGTTATGCTTTTGTGGCATGTTTAGTCACTATGAAAAAAATACCTTGAATTGTTTTGAAAATCATAGCAATCTTTTGTGAAAATAAACAATTTTTTGTTCTAATTCATCTTTTACTGCTGAATTTCTAATTGTTAAGGCCACCAAAAAAAGTATTTTGCACACTTTCATAAATCCTTTGAAACCTGTGAAGATCCAAGTTAGATTGTCTTCAACAAAGCAGGCTTGTAGTAAGAGGGGGGCGGTGGGGTAGCCTAGTGGTTAAAGCGTTGGCTCGTCACGCCGAAGACCCGGGTTCGATTCCCCACATGGGCACAATGTGTTAAGCCCATTTCTGGTGTCCCCAGCCGTGATATTGCTGGAATATTGCTAAAAGCGGCGTAAAACTAAACTCAGTCAGTCAGTGTAGTAAGAGGCATGTAAGAGGATTGGGTAGTGAGCCCAGCTGGCTTTATTGATCATGATGCATGTCTTCATGTCCCAGTTGTGAAGATCAATGCTCATGGTGTAACATATGTTATATTTGGGATTTCACTTTCTTAGTAAAGTACAAATTCTAGTACTTTTTGGGTTGAGTCCCATCCGGGATTCGAACCCACATCCTCAGAGTCAGGCACCTAATCGCCAGCACACCAAGTTAGCCGTCTAACCCGCTCAGCCACTACGACTAGAATTTGTCCTTTACTAAGAAAGTGTAATCCCAAATGTAACATTTGACCACTTTCTAAATGGCATTGTGTAATCATAATGCTCATGTTGTTGATCACTGGATTGTCTGTACCAGGCTTGACTACTTAGAGACATATAGGTGGAATACTGACGAGTTAACGAAAATACAAATGTATATCCTTTGGGATCCCAGTATGCATTCCTAATTCAACTCTTAATGGGAGCAGTGGGGTATAGTGGTGGTCCGATTAATTGAAATAATTGAAGATTGGTTGCAGTGACTAAACGACCAAGCAATCGATCATGTTTTCTCATAATCGAACACAAACAATTCTGGAACACTTTTTGCATTAACAATTTTTTTCACAAGGTTGTTTTGTAAGTTACATTTCATAACCACTACAAGCTTGTTCCAAGTCATGATTAAATTAATCTTAAAGACTCATGGAATTTTATGTTCCTAACATACTAGTAATCCTTTCAAGATGTGAAATTTGCCACACAAAAACCCCCAAAGAACTACATGTTTTTTCATTATGTTTTTTTTCATTAACAAAAAACAACAACTAAAAAACAGGAAAATTTCATAAATGACGCTAACCAATTATTTTCGATGATTGATCGGTTGTAATGAACCAATCATCAATTATGAGGTTTTAACTAAATTCCCAACAATAGTGGGGTAGCCTATTGATTAAAGCGTTTGCTTGTCACACAGAAGACCTGGGTTCGATTGCCCACATGGGTACCATGTGTGAAGCCCTTTCTGGGGTCCCCCGCTGTGATATTGCAGGAACATTGCTAAGCGCCACTCCTCTCCTAATGTGCTTTAAATCTTGAAATTAACGGGCCTCCAAGTTAATACCACTGTTTGTCACTAGCCAAAAGCATTTTTCACATTTAGTTCAGTCTCAAGTTAAGTTTCAAGATATATGGTATACCTTTATCTTGTTCATAAGTACAGGCACATAAGTCGCAAAACTTTCAAGGTAAATTAAGCTTACTGAATATTTTAAAAAGTAGCATTTTTGTCCTTTTAAGTTATGTCTAAATATACCTACACTCACCAGCGGCTGAAGGGATGATGTAAATCCAGCTATGGTCCATGCAGGTAGCAAAAGTACTTTAAGTCCCCATGGTTCCTGGCATGGTGATCTATCTTCAGTTGCTGGTGATGTCTAGCCCATTTTTTTAATATTGTGTTGTCTGTACTATTTGTCTAATTTTAAAAGTTGCTTGCTAGTTTTAGTTCTCTAACTGTGATAATCTAGTTATTTTACTGTCCTTCGTCAACAGGTTTTTATAATTTAATTGCGTTTATTGTTAATTTATAACTTTCTAAGTCACAATATGGCTGAAATATTGCCAATGTGACTATAATGTTTTACTCACTCACTCACTCGTAAGTACAGAAATTTGTTGCAGTTCATTTGTAAGTAAACACTTATGTCTCAACATGCTCATGGTATTGAAGATTGTTGTATCACGACTAGGAATGTCATCATGGGGAGGCTGTTAGAGGCTGAAGGATGAGCAATCTGAGCCTCATGAACCCGGGGACAAGCCTCAACTTTGACGGGGCAGCATTACAGAACCAGGAGGAAGCTGAATACAGGAAGGAAGAGGAGCAACAACAGCATGAGGTCAGTGTGGAGTTGTCTCTCATTGTTCAAGAGTAACCTCCAGCGCCGGTTGTTATTGCATTGGGCTGTCAGTTTCAAATACTTGCAGGCCCTTATGGCCTTCAGTAAATTATCTGTCAATTTTTTTCCCAACTGGAATCTTTCCCATTATGGCATAAAAGTTTTCTTTATTAACGTTCGGGAATCATACATGATCATGATGATCCATCATAATGTGATAACTTACAGTTTCACTTCCTGGTATTTGAGCGTGTTGCATATAGGAATGTCAACACCAGTCTTTAACAAATGAAAACTTCTCTCTGCACCATGGGCTTCGCTAATTGATTTTGTAGAAAGCTTAGTATTGTGGATGAACTTTGAAATGAAACTGTGTAGTATATTTTGTTTTTATTGGTTTGACTTTACCAAAATGGGCCTGCAGATTTCATTCAGGGCTGTAGATTTTGAAGCCTGCAGGCAACAGCAGGCCCTTATGGCAAACTGGTAAATTAAAGTATTGCAAACCCAGATTGTCTCCCGATGTTCAAGAGTAACCTCCCTTTTTATTGACTGCCACCGGTTTGATATTTTCCCATTCCATAGTAATCATGGTAATGTTATATTTTCAAAACAAAATACAAATGAAGGCATTTGCAGCTAATACATGTATATGTGTGCACAGTCTGATCCAAAAGCAAACAGGTAGCTTGCTAAACTAATTTTTAATTCTAAACAGGGTTACAACATGAGTTCCTGGATATTCATACTCAGTGCTTTGTTACTTGCACTGATGCTAGCCAATATTACAAAGTGCAACGTAGTTATTATTCTAACTTGCACCAGGTGCAGGTCAAGTTGTGAGTGGGTAAACTTCTGAATAAAACATCTAAATAATTCAATAGCATATTCCATTCATTACATATTACCATAAAAGCAGTGCAACTGGAATTTGGCTGGTGCAACTAGGTTTTTATATCAGGTTGCACCTGGTGCAAGTAGGTTATCATGTCTTAAATCGAGCCCTGATACTTTATTTCAGTCTGCAATGATGGCTCTTCACAAAAAGTGCTTGTTAACCTACAGATTCTGAATTGATGTAGTGTAAGCTGTAACACTCTCCTACACAGTATTCCTCTCCTATGTCCGAAGACCCGGGTTAGTTTACTATAAAGGTATAGCTAGTATCCTTCATTAATTTGCATTGATAATTAATCGTATTTCTAAGCGTTTATTCCACGTGAGTTTGCTGGATTGTTCAGCAAGTATTACGTTGATGAAAAACTGTACTATTTGTAGATTACATTTTTCTATTTGTCTTTTCTTATCCGCATGTAGTATGCCCTAGTTGTACTACGCCTTGTGCGTTTGATTCACGTTGCAGTTACTGCATTAATTTAACCAATTCTGCCTTTAATAAATACCATCTTTGCGTCTTGAGACGTGTTGCAGATAGGTCACGCAAACTAGGTGTAGACATGGCCGATACATCGGATTTCCCATCCAGTCAGCTGCTGTCGAGCAATAACATATTTTTTTCACTACATATTGCAATAAAAACAGTGCAACTGGAATTGGGCTGGTGCAACTAGGTTTTTAATCTTAGGTTCCACCAGGTGCAAGTAGGTTAACATCTCTTAATTCGAGCCCTGATTATCTCAACTTTTTCATCTTTATCAGTAATAAGACTTGGGGATGGATATCACCCTGTTTAGTACCCATTTCAAGCTGAATATCATTTGTCCATGCTAAAGAAATCAAACAGTTTTTACCTTTTTCATGGGGACAGTGGACCCATGAAGATCAGGGGTAGCATAGGTCCTCAGCAACCCATGCTTGCCACAAAAGGCGACAATGCTTGTCGTAAGAGGTGACTAACGGGATTGGGTGGTCAGGCTCGCTGACTTGGTTGACACATGTCATCTGTTCCCAATTACGCAGATCGATGCTCATGCTGTTGATCACTGGATTGTGTGGTCCAGACTCCATTATTTACAGACCGCTGTCATATAGCTTGAATATTGCTGAGTACAGCGTAAAACTAAACTCACTCACTCATGGTGACAGTGGCCTAAACATTTAGATAATCATGTGTCATATTTGGGTGACTTTATAAAAAAAAATATCCTGAATTAAGAAAAACTATATCATTTGTGAATCTATCTTTGTTTACCTTTATTGCATGGATCCACGTCTTGTTTATATTGATCTATGCTCTGTCATGAAAGACTTACAGAGAGTATGCAATACATATGTAAACATGTCATGCTGTTCAGTGTTGAAGGAACCCGTAAAGATCCGGGTTAGAATATGTCTTCAGTAGCCCATACTGGTAGTAGTAGTAGTATTGCGATATATCGGTATACCGCGCAGTCCTAATGTTGATCACTGGTTAGCATATCTATTCCATTATTTTTAAGAGGATATGTATAGGACAAAGGCTTTCTTTTCTTGTCTCCTGAGTTGTAACTAAGCTTCAGGTCTCGGTTTTTAAAGTAATTTTGTCACCATGGTGCAGTGTTCACGAATAGTGTCTGACCCTCGGGCAAATCTGGCAGATTCGCCAACGGTCAGACAGAAGTCTACAACCAGCCGGCCCCAGTGTCTGACTATATTTCACAATGACTTTGACTGAAGTTATTTTATGTGACCTATGACACTTGTTTGTTGTTTATAAATCTTATGTTTGTTAATAATTTCAATGTCAATCATAAGAAATATTAAATCTCGAATGTGTGTTTAATTTTATTCCATGGGTCCTGTGCATTTTCAATGTGTCAGACAGACATCTGAAACTTACAGGACCCAATGTCCTGTGACTTTGAAACACCATTCGTGAACACTGATGGTGATTCAGTTTTGTTTGACCAGCATAGTTTGCTGGGTACCTGTACCGGCGATGGTTCTTCACCTGGTCTCACGTGATCTGAAGAATATTACAACTAGTCATGGTTTTCCCAGCATGGGGTGAAATAACTCATTACATGAACCAGCCATTGGCATATCAAACACTTGAATGGGATTTGTAACAACTTTGGTCATGAGTTAGGCTTTTAGATGGATTTTCTCAAAGGCTTGGCAATCTAACTGCACTCAGGAAGGCCTCAAAATGATTAGTTTCTCTGTTTTGGATATTCCCACTATTGAAATGTAATTACATTGCCCCTTTGACTAAAGGCAATTTCCAATCTTGAGGATATGAAATAAAATTGAATTTTGAAAAATCTGCCATGTGGTCGATTGAGAAATGAACCAGGCTCTTCGATATGTTCTAATGATCGGTGATGGTCACTAAATTTTCACCATAAAATTTGTTAAAAACTTTAAAGTTCAGCCTGATGTTTGTTTGTTTGTGCTGGATTGTGTCTTGATTCCGTTAGTGATAGTTATAGATCATACAATGTGTTTTGATTCCTGTGGTGATGTTTTTAGATAATATGCTGAGTCTTGTTTCATGTAGTGAGGTTTTAGATAATAAAATGGGTCTTGATTCCCGTAGTGATGGGTAGCTTAATGGTTATACATTCTCTTGTCACATGAAAGGTCCAGGTTTAATTTTACAGTTGCCGCTGACTTGCTCACTCACTCACTCACTCACTCACACACTCACACTTCAAGTCTCAGTTGAGGGAGTTTTTATAAGCTCCAAATATACAAATACTACAGGTTATACTGAGTTGCTGGAACATTGGCTGTGTGAGACGGGAGAAACCTACCTGGCAACTTGTGGGGAGAGTTCTTTAGTGCTGTACTGGAGAGCTGTCACCAGTTGAAGGGGGACTGTCAGTACTCCAGGGGGGGTCAAATGGATGTGGGTGAGGAGGGTTGGAAGGGGGTTGGGACATGGGGTCTTAGCAACTGGTGGGGATCTGGTACTAGGTTGAGAGCTGTCACTAGGGGGACACTCTCAGCACTGCAGGGGTTATTACCAAGTGGTTTTGCTGATTGAGAAAAGAGTAAGCTAACCTACTGTATTGTAAACTACTGTGACAGTGTGAACATTATTTTATGCCAAAGTCAGCAATATTCACCCTTTAGCAAAGTGACTTACAAATAAAGTTCAAGCACTGAAGGAATAAGTATGCAAATATATCCAATGCAATTTATCATTTGTTATTAGTAATGAGGCTAAGGAGAGAATATCCCCTTGTTGAATACCTGTCTCCAAAACCTTTAAATGATTTCAACATACAAGATGCATCATCAAAATACTAAAGGAGTCACTGCCCCCGCAGAAAAAACCCGCAAAACTTTCTTTCAGCATTTTATATTCTGTGAAGTCATTGAGAAATGTACTGGAAGCAAGATAGACAAACTCATTGAACAAATGAACAAGTTGGCTGAACACTGAACACTTCTTAAAAAAGTTTTCATTGGAAAGTATTCCTATGGCTAGCACACAAAACACACAGAAACGTCTGTTGTTCTTTTGCAGTGAAAAGCCTTGGGAGAGATAGTCTCCTTGCTTTATCCCCTTGTTTAAAATAAAGATTTGCTGTGAAGTCATTGAGAAATGTACTCCATGTAAACTAGACGAACCCATGTAATATGAACAAATGAATAAGCTAACTGAATACTTTCAAAAAAAATTCCATTGGAAGTATTCCTAAGCTTACCATGCTTACATTCCAAAGGACACCATGCATAAATATGTTGACATTTCTATCCCAGAGGTTCACGAACCACCCAGAAACTTCTCTTGTTCTTTTGCAGTGATAAGCCTTGGGAGAGATAGTCTCCTTGCTTTATCCCCATGTTTAAAATAAACATGTTGATTTAAATATATCTCAGTGCCATCGCTGTCATGATGATTGATTCCCACAAAACACAACCACAGTGTTGCTGGGATTGCAGTAACAGAATGGAGTGGATCTGAACATTTACGATTACTAATTTATTAAACATGTGCACGCTCAGATGGCTGTTGCTGGGATAAGTGACAGGTTTAGGTTGTTAAGAAAGATACTCCTGGATAGTAGGCTTCAAACAATGTTTGGTTATCGGCTTTTCAGTTTGATGGG